TTCAAAGTCTATTATTCTTTTTCTTTTTTGCCTGACTTTTTTTAGGTCATTAAAGCTCGAGTGCATTTTAATATCTGAGAGTGTGTTCTAATTCTCTTAGTTGCACTAAAGGCTGATTTATACTTCTGCGTCAAACACCGGCGTATGCTACGGCGCTGACGCATAGCCCATCGCCGTGGCCGTCGCCGTCACTGACGTGCACCTCTCAAAAAGTGTAACTACACGTCGCAACAACGCGTAGCGCAAGCTCTGTGATTGGTCGGCTTGCTAGCTCCGACGAGTCTGGGCGGGACCGAGAGCCGCGCGAATGGCGCAAGCGATTGTTTACAAGTGTGGAGTCCCGTGAAGGAGCTCCGGATGGAAAGTTTTGTTCTGTGTTTACCTCATGGTTAAAGTTGTTGTATGTCCGCCGGTTCCTGCCTCAAAATGAGCGAGTTTGAGTCACTTGTACATCCAGGAAGTGTTCAGAATAGCAAAACAGAAGCGAAGAAACTCGACACAGAGGAACATTTACACCTCACTGCCCACTAGCGTTTCGGAAGTGTTAATGCAGACCAACGGAGACAGCGCGCAGAAGTATAAATGCACAGCCACGCGCGTTGCCTGCGCCGTGAGTTGCGCCGGTCACTTGACGCAGAAGTATAAACCAGGCTTAACTGTACCACATGCAATACTGCCATCAAATGGCGTTCACTTGTATTGCATCAATAATTTTATGAAACCAAACTATTACTCAGAAGCAGCATTTTAAAAACTCCCTTGCGTAGTTTTCCCACCTCAGCCTTCAGATGTATTAAATTTGGAGCATAGGTTATCAAATTCATAAAGTTAAATGTTGTAAAAAATATTACCCATTTACTTAAGCCCAATATATATTGTTGATTTTGAAACATGTATTTTTTTCTTTAAATAAAGAGTTTAAAGAAGATCCTTTAAAATATAGAACATTTGATGCATTAAAAAATACCAGAAAAAAGAAAGCTTCTAGGATACTTGTTATGAGCTGTGGGATTTCCAGCCAATGAGATCACACAGTGGGCGGGGCTACTGGGTCCAGTGCAACTAAGCAATCAAATAAGCACTTAGTCACTTCTCATTGTTCCTGGACAGTCATTAGAAAAGTGATTGGAGGCAAACACTTGAACTTGGGGAAAATTGCACACGTTAACTCACGGTAAGCAGCCGGGACTCTCAAGATCTTAATTAAATATAACTTTTTGAGCCAAAAAAGTTTTAGCAAAGTCAGCTCTGGTATCTGAAGTGACCTTAACCATTCATTATTCACAATCTGCATCACGACCAATTAGGCTATGGCATATAAAATGAAAAGCCTACAATCCAGTGGTGTCCATTCCTGTCTCTGGAGGGCCACTGACCTGCAGGGTTTTACTCCAAACCTACAGTAATTAAACAAAACTGAGGCGGCTAATCATGATCTTTAGGCTCACTGGAACACCCAAGCTGGTTGGGGCTAAACTCTTAGTAGGACTGGACTCATCTGTTCCTACATTTTTCTACATTTTGCTCCATTTTATGCGCAAGCATGACCGTGCAGCTTTCAAATGGCACTTAACAGTGCAGTACCACAGGGCGTCCATGGCATCTTAAGTCTTAAAATGTCTTAAATTTAAAAAAAAATTACAATAAAATAAGCCTTAAAGTCTTAAAACCTTTCACAGAAATATTGTTTTTGGTCTTAAAATATTTTAAATAGGTTTGAATTTCTCTATTGCCAAGTAAAGCTACCCAATCTGGCCATCACCAAATAACCAATAATCCATATCAAAACTTTTATTTTTTTTTTTCACCTAAAGTTTTTTTTTTATTATTATTATTATTATTCCAAAGACAGCTGTTAGACATTTACAGCAGATTCTCTAAATTGTGGAAGAAAACTAAAGCAACACATCCCTATACATGATCTTCCATTAATGTAAAAACCATTTACAGAAGTAACTCGGCCATTATAAAAAGAAAATCCTTAGTGTTTAGCCCTGTATAAATTTTACATTTAATTCATAATGGTCTTAAAAGGATCTTAAAAAGTCTTATATTTGATTTGTACCACCAAGTAGACTCAAAAACCTGCAGTACCTCAAAAATATATACTCAATCAAACCTCGTGCCTCTTCAAACCTCTTGCGCTACCACATCTACACACATAGTCGGTTATAAGGCATTTAAAAAAATAAAAATGTTTAAAATAAATAAAGATAAAAGCGTTATAAATATACCCCCTTTCACACATACAGACCTTTCTGCAAAATTACCAGCAATTTTCCGAAAAGGACTGTATGTGTGAACAGGCTTATTTTAAAAAATCGGTAAATTCGTTCCGGCTATTTTCCGGAAAGAGAATTTGTAACATTACCGGTAATTTGCCGGAATGCTGCTCTGTGTGAACACAGAAGGAAGATTGCTGGAAAGAGCATATAGACCGTGCTGACGTGAGACGTCTACTTTAGCCAATCAAAACAGTCAGACACATTCCGGTCCGCGCGGTTTATAAAAATAAAAGGCTTTAAATATTTTTCACATTTAGCTGCTAGATGTTAGTCAGATAAAATTTATATTTTCCTTCTTAATGCCAACTGTGTAAATAATTATCGATAAGATGCCTATGATAAGCCGTTGTTTGTTTACCTTCAAGTTCTGCTTCCTTAAGTTGCGTGACGCGTCGAGTGTGCCTGTAAAACAGCCCGTAAGCGCCAGCACACACACATATCATGTACATCTCGACATGTGAAAATGATCCTCTATATTTTTATCCAAGTATTTTTTTATCCATCTACAGAGTTTGTAATGTAGTCAAATGTTTTCAAATACAAGCGCAGCCGTTTAGAGTTTATCTCTGGTTAATGATGTCAGAATTTACTGGTATCTTGGAATAAATGTGTGAATTGTCTTTTCCGGAAAATTCCCGTAACGTCCTCGCCTGTGTGAACAGCGCTTTTTTTAATTTACTGGTAAAGTCATTCTGTAAATTTTCCAGATATTTACCGGTATCACTGTGTAAAAGGGGCTTATATGATAGTTGCATATAATAGCACAAGTGAAACAGATGACAGTTCAGTATATTTGTTTGCTTTAGTTTTTTTTCGTTTCATTCTATTTTTGATTTGTCATTCATTGTTCAACGACAAAGTAGAATGGTTCTTTGTGAATCGAAAAAAATAATCGAAAAATGCTACAGCATTTGTTTTGTTTACAAAGTCACAGTGTTTTGTTATTGAGAGAGTAGGTGATAGACCAATTCATGGTAACCCTTTACAGCCAATATTGAATCACAGAGCCCACCTTGTTCATGTGTAATGATCTTTTACTGCAACACGAGTGAAGTACAGAGCCTCCTGTAGTCTACATACTGTTGAATTCAGAATTATTAGCCCCCCTTTGAATTTTGTTTTCTTTTTTAAATATTTCCCAAATGATGTTTAACAGAGCAGGGAATTTTTCACAGTATTTCTGATAATATTTTTTCTTCTGGAGATAATCTTATTTGTTTTATTTAGGCTAGAATAAAAGAAGTTAACATTTTTTTAAAAGCATTTAAAAGTCAAAGTTATTAGCTAATTTGAGCTTTTTTTTTCCTCGATTGTCTACAGAACAAACCATTGTTATACAATAACTTGCCTAATTAACCTAACCTGCCTAGTTAACCTAATTAACCTATAGTTAAGCCTTTACATGTTACTTTAAGCTGTTTAGAAGTGTCTTGAAAAAAATTTAGTAAAATATTATTTACTGTCATCATGACAAAGATAATAAATCCATTATTAAAAACTAGTTATAAAACTATTTTTTTAGAAATGTGTTGAAAACTCTGCTCTTCATTAAACAGAAATTGGGGAAAAAGTAAGCAGGTGGCTAATAATTCAGAGGGGCAAATAATTCTGACTTCAACTGTATGCAAAGAAAATAAATCTAATTAGTTAACAAATGAAGTTGTGTGTAAGAAAATAAAACGATGCAAGAAAAAAGTATTGAACACATGAAGAAAGGGAGGTATAGAAAAGCAATAAAGGCCCAGACAGCAGCTAAAATTTCTCAGTAGTAGTTATTTAGGAACCTTCTGCCCTTCATCATTGTATATTAATATTAGCTGCTTCAGTCGAACATATCCATTTGCAGGATGATGGAGCTGAAACCAGGGTGGACATTTCAGCAAGACAATGATCCAAAACACAGCCAAGGAAACTCTCAAATGGATTCAGAGAAATTAAATCAAGCTGTAAAATGGCACAGCCAATCATCTAACTTAAATCCAATATTACATACAAATAAAAGATCAGATTTGATAGACGAGAACTTGTGATGCCATACATATATAAACATATTGATACTGCAGTGGTGAGTTCACTTATGCATCTGTTGTATAAATGTTTAAATATTATCCAGTCTTATTAAGTCCATAATTCAGCATTATTTGAGGAAACTAAATCAAGTTTGAACAACAAAAAGATGGGAAAAACTACACCTTTTGAATAAAACCAATTCCTTATGAGGCTTCTTCAGAATAATTAGCTTTAAATAAAGTAGTTAAGTGTAAAGAACTATCCTATTCCTTAGTTTAGATGACAGCACTCGAAGACACTATTTTCATCTTCGCTTTACTGCCAAGTCTGCAAATCGGGATCTGTGCAGAAAATAATGCACTAAATGGAAAAGTGTAATGCTGAACCTGATTTTGCTGGTGTGTTATTGAGATCTCTGCTGCCCCACTGTGTTCGTGATCGCACGCATACACACACAAACACACACTGAAGAAATTCACGTACCCTTGTCTGAAGATGAAATCAACTGTTTCTGTGATTCATACCACCGTATCTGCATATTGCCAAAGGCCTTGTGTGTTTTGATGAGGTTTATCGTTTTATTTTATGTTTGTTCATTTTCACGTCTCTTCAGATTAAGTCATCATTTCTGCATCATTCCACTTCACTGTGCTGTCGTGATGCCACAAACACTGATTCAGCTGTTTGTTTGTTTTATCCCTGCAGTGACCTGGTGAATGGACTGGTGTCTCTGATGAACAGTAACATCAGTAGCCCTGTTAACCTGGTGAGTTTGTCATTTTTGATTTATGCTGTAATATTAAAATTTGCATATTAGTGAGTACACTCTCTTTGAAAATGAATATTTTTGTTTATTTCTTAGTAAATATAGACGATGTTTTGGTGCATTTAAACAAAACCGCTTTATTAAACAGGGCTCGAAATTGCGACCATTTCGGTAGCATATGCGACAGAAATTTTGTCTATGCAACCTCAAAATATATTTGGGAGCATTTGTGCGAGTGTATAAAATTGTTGTGTGCAACCAGTCTTTACTGAATAATGTTTACCACATGCGCGGATATGGGAAGCATTCACGCAGAATGCATCTTTGCACTTGAAACGCGAAACGCAGCGCTCAAGGAATGGTTTAAAACAGTTGTCATGTCAACTTGCTGCAGTAAACAAAGCAAAGTCCGTAATGCTGCGTTCACACCAGATGCGGCACGCGTGTCAAGCGCGAGTGATTTACATGTTAAGTCAATGCAAACACGTGAATAGACATCCTACGGCGCGATACGCGCGAATGGCTCGACACGAATGACGCAAATTGCGCGAATGGCGCGGGGCGAATTGAGCATTTTGCGCGTTTGCTCTACATTTGCACCGCGTTAACCAATCAGAAGCTTGCTCTTGTGGGATCGTGATTGTGACGTAGAACCTGTTGTTGTTGTTCCGAGGGAAATCCTCCAGCCTTCACCGACAACAATTCATCAAACTCGGCTTGGCTCAGTCAGAAGCACCGCTGAAAGCCTCTGTCATCCAGGTAAGTTTCTGGAGGAGTTTATGAGCTGGATGCACCTCTGAAAGGATGTAGTGGACTCAGACACGACCCTAAACGTATCCACGCTGTTTTTCAGTCTTTATAAAGCACATTAACACTGTTATTTTCTTCATAAAATCCATGTTAGCCATTTAGCTATGAAGCCGGAGTCACCGGGCAGACCTGCCCATCACGCGAATCTGCGTCTGTTCTGATGTGAATTTGACACGCGAATGAAGTGGGGTTTGATGCGCGTATGAAGCGAGTAAACTCAAATGTTCACGCGGCTATTTACGCGCGAATAGAACGATTTATCTGCACGTTCCACGTCTGGTGTGAACACAGCATAATGCTTGCCCTGCCTTCACCCTCTTCTTATTGGCCCACCACTGCTCTAGCACTGAAATATCAGCTGTCAATCACTCAGTCAGTGCCTTCTAGCTTGGGATGACAGAAAGAGCTACTACTGCGAAAAACTAATGCTGTGTTCACACAAGACGCGGAACGCGTGGATAAATCACGCTATTCACGCGTAAATTGGCGCATGAACATTTGAGTTTACTCGCTTCATTCGCACGTCAAACCCCGCTTCATTCGCGTGTCAAATTCACTTCAGAACAGACGCGGATTCGCGTGATGGGCAGGGCTTCTGACTGCCCGAAGACTCTAGCTTTATAGCTAAATGGCTAACATGGATTTTATGAAGAAAATAACAGTGTTAATGTGCTTTATGAAGACTGAAAAACAGCATCGATACGTTTAGGGTCGTGTCTGAGTCCACTACATCCTTTCAGAGGTGCATCCAGCTCTGTGAGCTCATAAACTCCTCCAGAAACTTAACCTGGATGACGGAGGCTTTCAGCAGTGCTTCTGACTGAGCCAAGTTGAGTTTGATGAACTGTTGTCGGTGAAGGCTGGAGGATTTCCCTCGGAACACCGACAACAGGTTCTACATCACAATCACGCCCCCACAAGAGCAAGCTTCTGATTGGTTAACGCAGTGCGAATGTACACTGAAGTTCAGATTTTCGAAACGCTCGTTAAGCGCGGCAAACGCGCAAAATGCGCAATTCGCCCCGCGCCATTCGCACAATTTGCATCATTCGCGCCGCGCCATTCGCACGTATCGCGCCGCAGGATGTCTATTCGCGCGTTTGCATTGACTTAACATGTAAATCACTCGCGCTTGACACCTGTGCCGCGTCTGGTGTGAAGGCAGCATAGCGCTGAAGATGAGAATGAAGATAACACTGGCAGATTTTGTTTTAGAAACCATTGCATCTAAAGTTACAAATAATGACACATCTTAGTAGTGATCATGTGCTGAATGTTAATCCACCATCTACACTTTTCGAAGAGTGGATAAAAGACTTCCAGTGGCTTCAAGTCCGCTATGAAAAGTCTGTGGGATGGAATTTTCAGGTAACTGTTTGCCAAAACTAGCACGAGAGGTTCTGTTTAATCCTTCAAATAAATGCCAGATGCTGTCCGCCGTGCAAGTGGCAGCTATATGTAAAATAAAACACCACGTACACCATCGCAAACGGGCTTGCACTGAGTAAACTAATATCACTACTCATGAAAAGACCGGTATTGCTATTAATATGATGTATGCGTATTATAAGGTACAGTATATGTCAAAAGCATCAGTGCAATATCAGACAGCACCCTAGAGAACAGCACAGTTACACCGTTAACAGATTCATTCATGTCCAGCAGTGCGTGCAGGGCCGGTGAGCACTCCGTGTACCTTTTGGTCACTCAGTTATGTTATAAAAATGTATTTTCTTGTGATAACGGGATTTCGTTGAGACATATTTTCCACTTTTGATCATTTTTCACGCATGCATATATATATATATATATTTTTACTTGTTAGTTTGATTACTGTTGATTTCAAATGCAATACATATGTTTGTATAACACTTGTAGTAACGGTGCTTACAATTGGTGGTGCGACTAAATTTTGGCTGATGCGCCTAAATTTTTAAAGTTAAGAGCACTGGTGCTACCAAGCAAAAAGGTTCATTTCGAGCCCTGTTAAAGAGTTATATTCGATAAGAGCGCAGTGAGTAGCACAATCACCTCACAAGACAGAAGGTCACTGGTTCAAGCCTCAGCTGGGTCAGTTGGCATTTCTGTGTGGAGTTTGCATGTTCTCCTCGTTTTTTTTTTTTTTCTGGGTGCTCCGGTTTATATGCTTATATCCAGCCAGCATATATCCATAAATATTCTGGCTAAGTTGGCGGTTCATTGGGAGAAACTACTCTACGCCCTACGTCTTCATGTTTCAGTTGAATTTACGTCAAATATCAAATAATAACTGCACACGGTTACCTGTTGTGTTTTATTAACATCTACACCTACCACAACCCTAAACTAACCTCAAAGTAACCTGCTGTGATTTGTTCATGTCTACACCTAACAATACCCTAACCCAACCTTATAGTAACCTCTTGTGATTTATAAACATCTACACTTACCACAACCCAAACCCAAAACTCACATAAACCTATTGGATTTTATTAACATCTACACCTACCACAACCCAAACCCAACCTCAGAACATCCTGTTGTGTTTTATTAATGTATACACCCACGACAGTCTCTAACCCCAACCTCACTGTAACTTATTGTGTTTTATTAATGTCTACAACCAACACAATTCTAACCCGAGTAACCTTTTGTGTTTTAGTAACGTCTACACCCACCACAACCCTATCCCCCAACCTCACAGTAACCTGTTGTGCTTTAGTAATGTCTACATCTACCACAACCCTAACCTCCAACCTCACAGTAACCTGTTGTGCTTTAGTAATGTCTACACCTACCACAACCCTAACCTCCAATCTCACAGTAGCCTGTTGTGCTTTAGTAATGTCTACACCTACCACAACCCTAAACCCATCCTACTTACCAGGTCTCCGTGCTGCCATGATACCTACTTTAATTTATTCCTGGCTGATGCCTTAGTGTTACATTTAATTAAACCAATAGCGCTTCACACTGGGCAGAATTACGTGGCCTTCACTCTGATTGCATCCCCAATGAATGTGCCGGTAAGACCTGCTGATCTCTTCCAGGGAAATCCAGAGGAACACACCATCTTGGAGTTTGCGCAGCTCATCAAGAGTCTAGTTGGTCAGTAGAAATATCATAAAATCAATAGAGATGGAGTCTTTTAATGAATGATTAATTGAACACCACACTACTGCCTGTCTCCTCAGCGAGCCGCAGTCATATTCAGTTCCTTCCAGAAGCGCAGGATGATCCACAGAGGAGACGGCCCGACATCCGCAAGGCCAAACTGCTGCTGGGCTGGGAACCTGTGGTGGGTGATGGTGATCATTATTGATGACTGCTGAGCACAGTTTATCTATTCCTCGCTTATGTGAATTGAAAACACTTGAAAATTCAGTTTTTCGGGATGTACAATTTAAAGTTATGTATCAAAAAGGTGCCATGTTTTAACTTCAGAGTAGTTCATTTTAAAGGGCACATAGTTTACCCCCTTTTTTAAGATTTAATATTAATATTATGATTCTTCTGAGTGTGCCAGTTTAGGTTCAGTTCAAAACTCAGTTCAGATTTTTTATTATAATGTGTTAAAATGTGTAATTTTGGGGGCGTGTACACAGGTCGCTGTTTTAGGGGTGTGTTGCTTCACATGACAATTCGTTTCGACTTCCCGCCCAATGCAGCCAAGAGCTCCCCCGCTCTGTGTTTGGCAACAGACAGGCAGACAGAGAGAAGCAACATGAGTGAGAGGACCAGCATTCAGTCGTACATGTACGACTCGGACACAGACTTAGCAGAGAGTACAAAATCATTTGTTTCTTTGTATAGTTTTACAACCAACTGTGTGCTAGTTTAAAGTTCAGAGCTTGTACACTGAGTCTAATAACCACACACACTGAATTAACTTTGACTGAGGCACCGGATGCGCGGCTTAGACCTGCGACACAGCACACCATATAACTGAGGGGGCTGGTGGTGAGGGTAGTGTCGCGGATGCCACCCTCTCTATTCTGCCACCCTATAGACGCGATCACGTATATATAAATGAGGGCGTGGGTGGTGAGGGTAGTGTCGGGGACGCCGCCCTCTCTATTCTGCCGCCCTAGGCAGGCGCCTAGGTCACCTCTATGGACGCGCCGGCACTGACACTGATAGAAACCTATGTTTATTCTAAAATGCATGGCTCAGCATCGCGCCATGCAGAGCAACGCTTCTGGTGTGCGTCCTGCAGGCAAGTTCGTTATTTTATTTCCAATGGAGAGATTTGTACGTGAGCCAACGTGCTCGCACTTTCCAGCTGCACCTAGTTAAGATCACAGGGAGCTTCTGTGACCGCGAGAAATGCAAACGGCTGAAGTTTAAGGTAGACGCAATGAAAAGTACACATGTTTGCAAACCTACCTAAAGTTACAAACAATAACTCTGATCAAGTGATCATGTGGTAAATGTTGATTATTTGTTGAGCCCAATGAGCCTTACATCTTAAAATAGACCAAGGGTGTTTCTTTAGTGACATCGCTGAAAATAGTGGTCGTGAAACAACAAACAGAGAATATGGTGATGCGTCTGTCAATCAATATTGGTGGGCGGGGGGACCGCACTCCTACGCCAAGTTGCGGTCAATCTGAAAACCGCTCCAATTGGTCCACCATTTTCATGTTGTTAAATTTAAAAATAAAGGACTGTGTGTGTTTATATAACCCCAATATGACGGTCTATACACTATACCTACACACGTCTGTCCAAACAGCTTGAAAAGTAGATTTTTCACCATAGGTGCCCTGTAAGTGAAAGCATTTGTTATTCTGACCAATTAATGGTTACTCAGATTTTTTTTAACAACTAAAAGGTTGTGTTTGATCTAAATTTATTGGTTTAGGAGTAATTAAGAGTTTATTTTCGATTTTCTATGCGTTGAGATTTACAGTATGTGGACCTTTAGTATTGAGTCAAGTAATCGAATTACTTATTGACTAACTAAGTTACTTTTCTTACAAAGGAATTAAAACTTAATTTGTTTGATGTAATTAGTAATTAACTACTAACCAATCACTGATGCTTAGATATAATACAACAATATAAACAGTTCACTACAATCTTTCATGTGTCTGTAGGTAGGAATGCAACGATTGCAGATTTTGGTTGTACGGTTATAGTCTGAGGAAAAATCACGCTTTCATGGTTATCACGATTATTATACATTCAGTAATTTGAAAACACTACTAGAAAATCACATGAAAACTCTTTATATTTTAAAGCGTTATTTACTGCTGCTCAGTAACCAAAAATACAGCTCAAAATAATAATAAAAACACAAACAATAGTCCATTTCTCTTTGGACTTTAAAAAAAAATTAATTTGGGGGCGTTTAAACATGACTAATAATTTTACACTGTAAATTAAAGACAGAACAATTAAGAAATAAATAAAAATAAGAATAAAAGAACAAATGTAGTCAAAGGCTGCTTAACCTCTCTGTCTGAAAGGCACTTTTGATCAACTATATTACAAAATTGTTTTGTATTTTTCTGCCATAAAATATGCACATGCACGCCGCGTGCCTCCATTGGAAATAACGAACTTGCCTGCCAAAGACGCAATATGTGAACGGCCCTTAGTTTGTTTGTTTTTTCATTGTTGCAAAATTTTACACCACAAAACCGAACAAACGACATCTCAAGGCACATTTACCATTAAAATAACTCAAATAAATTAATATAAAATAAATAAAAATAATTAAAAACAGCAACAAGGAGCAGTACAAAATATATACGTCAAAGGAAAAATCATTATAATAACAAATGTTTTGAAACAAAAGTACAAAGAGCTTCAGTTATTTTATTTTGGTTTCTGAAACATTTGAAGCTTTGAGCCATTTTCCCTTCCTCGAAAAGAAAACACCTAAAAGGGCCTGTATTTTTTCCAGTTACAACAATAAATGTGATATTTACCCATTAATAGTGAACGGCCCTTAGTTATTAGCCTAAGCTGTAGTTAATCCAGTTAGTTTAGCCTCGGTGTACAAGCTTGGAACTTTAAAGTAGTGCAGAGTTGGCACAACTTTGTTTAGTTGCAGCAGTTTTTTTCCATGCAGAAACACAGTGTTGAGAAGCCTTTACGATTAATTAACAATGACAAATTAAAACACGGTTAATAGTGAAAACGGTTAATTGTTGCATCCCTATCTGCAGGTCCCACTGGAGGAAGGCTTGAACAAAACCATCCAGTACTTCAGCCGAGAGCTGGAGCATCAAGCCAACAATCAGTACATCCCCAAACCCAAAGCTGCCCGCATGAAGAAAGGAAGACCCAGACACAACTGAAGACACGGCTTCATCTCAGGGATGCTGGGATATGGAGGACTTCAGACATCCGGCAGCCACTTTACCAACTCCCACTAACAGATGCGTCGTTTTGGCAGAGAGGGGATAAGAGAAGTTTTTCTGATGTTTTTCAGTCGTATGTGCCTCAAAATGATCCAATTTACAGACTTTGCCTTGCACTTTGGTTTGTGAGTCGTCTGTCTGTCTGTGTGTGTGTCTGTTATTTAAAGCAAGCTTAGGTCTTCATGTGCGTTATGTTTACATTCTGTGCTGTTTTAATTGATGTGATCAGTTTTTTTTTCTAGGATTATCATTGAAGCTAAAGGTGTTTTCGTTTTTTTTAAGGACACCTGTTGAAAATCAGAAGATTGAGAATTATTTAAAGTGTGTTTTGGTGCCAGGAAGTCTCAGTTCTGAGGACACGGATGAAAGATAAGCTTTGAAAAATGTTTCTTTCTGCTTTAATCTTTGTGACAATTTCGAGCGAAAATCTGTTGTTACCTTTGTGAAACTTCATACAGATCTTATAATGGATTTCAGGTGAAAAGAATATTTTAATAAAATATTTACTGTGAGTTTTTACTGTATTTCTTTTTTAATCTCTTTTTTTTTTCTTAGCTTTTCTCTCTTAAAACATTTTAAGTAAAACAAAATATCATTGTGCATGTGTGTATCCCAATCATCACAAACACTGCAGAAGACCTACTGGAACCAGCAGGGACCCAAGATTCTCAGAGAAATCAGTCAAGTTTGGTAAAGGAAAAATCATGGTTTGGGTTTATGTTCAGTATAGGGGCGTGTGAGAGATCTGCAGAGTGGATGGCAACATCAACAGCCTGAGGTATCAAGACATTAGTGCTGCCCATTACATTACAAACCACAGGAGAGGGCAAATTCTTCAGCAGGATAGCGCTCTTCATACTTCAGCCTCCACATCAAAGTTCCTGAAAGCAAAGAAGGTCAATGTGCTCCAGGATTGGCCAGCCCAGTCACCAGAAATGAACATTATTGAACATATCTAGAGTAAGATGGAGGAGGAGGCATTGAAGATGAATCCAAAGAATCTTGATGAAATCCGGAAGTCCTGCAGGAATGCTTCCTTGGCCATTCCAGATGACTTTATTAATAAGTTATTTGAGTCATTGCAGAGATGTATGGATGCAGTCATCTAAGCTCATGGGAGTCATACACAATAATCATTCTTTTTCCACTGCACCATGACTTTATATTCTAGACCACAGGTGTCAAACTCAGTTCCAAAAGGGCGGCAGCTCTGCACAGTTTAGTTCCAACCCTAATTAATCACACCTGATCAAACTAATTGAGTCCTTCAGGCTTGTTTGAAACCTACAGGTAAGTGTGTTGGAGCAGGGTTGGAAATAAACTGTGCAGGGCTTCGGCCCTCCAGGAATTGAGTTTGACACCCCTGTTCTAGACTGTACATTATTTCTAAGTGATAAGACTTTTGTCTAAGCAAAGTCAGACCTTATTGTCCTTATGAAATAAATATATTTAAATTTGGTACAATAAATTTAATCAAGAGGCCTTTGCCTGTCATATAAGCCATTTCTGATTTAATGATCAACTAGAAGTCAAGTTATTTGTTATTCCTAAAACTCGGATAGACAAGACTTATACCTAATAAGCTAATTTGGGCCTCAAATTTTGGGCCTTTTTTTTATTTTTACAGCGATTTAACAATTAAACTTTAATTTTACAGGTGTTTTATTTTTTATTAGTTTAGTTAGTATAGTTTTATTATTTATTTCATTCTTTTAAATTGAAAAAGTCTTAATTTACTTTAAAAAGAACTTTTTTTAACACCTTTATTACAAGAAAATTAAGCGTATATAAACTTAAAGTTACAGAACAAGGTAGTAAAATTATTTTATCCTGCCATTCTTTCAACATAAAGAAAGTCTATGAATACCAAAGCTGAGAGCTCTTAAATCTATAGCGGAGAACAAGATTTCCTGTAATGACTGATAATGTCATGCTTTTCATCACACAAAGGTATGAATGAGTCACGGTTATTACACTTTTCTTTCCAGGAATTGCAATTTTTTTTTTATTAAGTAAATGATGAAGATGTGAATCCTTTACTGTTCCACTAAAAATACATGTTCTCCTCTTATTTCCATTTACAAAAGGAAGCACAAACTATAGAGGAAGAAAGAAAGAAAGAAAGAAAGAAGAGAGCTGAGATCACTGTGCAGTAAATCAGAGCAGAGAATCATCTTGTTGGCATCGGTGACGTGTTTCTGGTTGAATGGACTGTTCTAGTAGTAGTCATAGTTGACATTTGCCCCGTGTCTGTATGAAGCAGCTCCCCGAGGCCCCAGGGCAGCGTTTTCATCATAGTGATGCTGGCGACCCTGATCACTGGAGCGGTGCTGATCCATCCAGTACGCCAGATCCGTCTCCAGTCTCTGAGGGGAAATAGAGAAAAAGAGCTTCAAGCGTTAAAGGTACTGTGTGTAAGAATTGTCATGTATTAGTCAGCTTTAATTTCAATAGCTACAGTTGCGAAAGTAAGTATTGAACACATCACTATTTGTCAGAAAACGTATTTCTAAAGGTGCTGTTGACTTTTAATTTTCATTGGATGTTAGTAACAACCAAATAAATCCACATATGCAAGAAAAATAAACTAATTAGTTTACAAATGAAGATTAAAAACTAGAACATATGTGTAACCTAAAGAACTGAGTGAAGCTAAAAGAAAATAATTCAGAAAAAAAAACTCAATCACGATCCTTTTGATGTGTCCACAACATCAAACCTTCCAGACGCAGGACTGAAAAAATCAAAGCTTATGGCAATTTTCACAGACACTGTATCAAAAACAAGCCAGTGAGAAATAAACAGACACAAAATTGCATAGAATATGCAATCATTGTATCCTTATGGAAATTGAAACAATCTAAAATTATTATAATTAACATTATAATAAAATATTAAGTTTGAGACTTAATGAGAAAGGTTGTATGTGTGAACAGGTCCTTTTTAAAAATACCAGTAAACTCGTTCTGGCTATTTTCCAGAAAGAGAAGTTGTAACATTACCGTTAATAGAGTGGAGGAACTATGACATCAATTTGTATGCAAAAACCCGGAAGCGAGTTAGCATTTTAGCACTTCCAGTTCCCTCGTCCCAAAGTCAGTAAAGGTTTCAGTAAAATCGCTTAAATAAGGTCCGTGGCCAACACAAATTCAAGATACTTTCACGGTTTGTTCTACGACATAAAACACATCAGTTACAGCACACTCTTGAATTTTTAATTCAGCCATGCTTCTTTAAAAAGACGGTTGCTATCAAGTTGCTAAATGGGACTACAGGCGGTGTCGGAGACATTATACGTCATCGAGCTTGTGTTGGGCAATTGATCATTTATTTTAATTAAACCATATTATGAAGATACTGCAGTGCAGCCTGTCTCTTTCCTGCTCTCAGTAATGCAAACGAGTCAACAAATGTGTACAAATACATGCATGTTAACTGTCATTTTAACATGATCAAGTGATTTCTCGTCTTTTTTTTTCTTCATCTGAACACATTGTATTTTGTCATAACGGCAATATTTACACTCCTCCATAAAATGTATAGCATATGTGACTGCATTTCTGTCGTCTGTTAAGGTAAGCAGGCTGTGCGCGCGCGAGCGATACACTTATTTAAATATGTCTCATGATAATACTTTATAGGCAGATTTATACACGCAGTTTTAAAACTTTTAGAACAGCTGTAAAGAAAAACAGATGTATTTCCCTCGTAAAAACGATGCAAAAGGCACATAGGTCTATGTGTTTTTGCTTATTTATTAGTTTATAATATATAGCGTGGATTGTAATATAATAAACAGAGAGATTAACTCTTTGTCATGGACATTATTTCTAAAAATAAGCATGACAAGTTATCTGTAGTAGGGTTGTGCTGACGTCACAGGTGGCGCCCTGAAGGCAGTGTAGTCCGTTTATAGCCTAATGTTAGCTTTTCGACTCTTGCGTTTGCATTTAAGATCCAAAAGTGCTCAAAGTTGTATTTTCATGTGAGGATTATCCGCCTGGACAAAACGTGTAAGTGTAATAAAGTGTTTGAACACAGAGCTTATTATTTGCAATCTTCGAAAAGCCAATGGGAAAATCCTATGGGGATTTTAAAGATGGAACCAGTTTTATGCTAGCAGCCGATTAGCCTACAAAGTGACGCCATAGTTCCTCTACTCTATTTGCCGGAATGCTGCGCTGTGTGAATGCAGAAGGAAGATTGCCGGAAAGAGCGCGTGCAAGTCTAGAACGTGCTGACGTGAGGCGTCTGCTTTAACCGATTCGAATAGTCAGACGCATTCACGTCCGCACGGTTTATGAGAATAAAAGCCTTTGAATGTTTCCCAGATGCATTTAGCTGCTAGAAGTTAGTCAGATAACGTTTATATGTTCTTCTTATTGCCAACTGTGTAAATAATAATCGATAAGATGCTTATGATAAGCCGCTGTTTGTTTACCTTCAAGCTTTGCGTGTGCCCGTGAAACAGCCGTGAACGCCAGCACACACATATTATGTACATCTCGACATGCGAAAGTGATCCTCCATATGTTTTCATTGAAGTTGTTCACAATACTAATCATCCGCAGAGTTTGTGATATAGTCAAATGTTTACAAGTACAAGCGCAGCCGTTTAAAGCTCATTTGTGGTGAATGATGTCAGAATTTACTGGTATTTTGGAATGGATGTGTGAACGGTTTTTTCTGGAAAAATTCCGTAACGTCGTCGCCTGTGTGAACAGCACTTTTTTGAATTTACCGGTAAAGTCGTTCCGTAAATTTTCCAGATATTTACCGGTATCACTGTGTGAAAGGGGCTATTGACAGCATTATCAGACCATTTGTTTTCACTAGTAAAATGAGACATTTGTCATTAATAGTTTTCTTTTTGCATAATATAGGCCAGTTATACTAACAGTAAACATTTATATTTATGCACAACACTTTTATGTTCGCTATAAAAGAAAAAACATGTCAAATGCTTGTCGCAATCACAACTGTAAAATGTAATATGATCATTTAAATGATGTGCGTGCTGGTGTCTGTGGGAGCGAGTTCAAGCCAAACAGTGAGAACACCGCCTACTAGGGTCACAGAATACCATCATCACAGAATTTGGTGGTAAACCACCTTTATTTTCACTTCCCCATGCAAATCATTCTTTCAGCGCGGCTCTCAAACGATCGCTCTGTGCAACAAACTGAACGTTATTTACAACTTTATTACCTGTTATTCACAGCATATGCAGGTTCTGTTCACTAAAGTAGGCGTGATTGGTGTGCACTCGCGCGTTCTCGGTGGTAAACAAACAGCTTACATTCGCCTTGTGTGATTTCGCTGTCGCGAATAAATCATTACATTAGACAGAGATAACATTTTTGGGTAAATTTTACCTTATAAATGGAGCATGTGACTCTTTTAATGTCAATTGAAGGTGTCCATGTTGCTGTGAATACTTGTGCGTCCGCCTTTACTCTTCTCTCCTGACCCTACAAATATAATTGGCTGAATCGTAGAAAAGCTGGATTAAGATTGTGTGTAGCGTCTAATCGAGATCGAGATCTTTTTTCGATTAATCGTGCAGCACTAAAATGAATGATTCAAACTGCTTTGACAGACTTTATAGAACCCTATTGAACAAAAGATCAATTCCCAAACTGGATAATGCTATGACAAATCGGCTCTTCCTCAAACAGATTTGGTTTCATTCATTCATTTATTCATTTTCTTTTCAGCGTAGTCGCTTTAATTATCCGGGGTCGCCACAGCAGAATGAACCACCAACTTATCCAGCACGTTTATAAACAGCGGATGCCCTTCCAGCTGCTTCCATTCACATTCATATACTATGGACAATTTATCCTACCCAATTCACCTGTACCGCATGTCTTTGGACTGTGGGGGAAACCGGAGCATCCGAAGAAAATCAACGTGAACACGGGTAGAACATTCAAACTCCACTCAGAAATACCAACTGACCCAGCCGAGGCTCGAACCAGCGACCCAGCGACCTTCTTGCTGTGAGGCGACAGCACTACCTAGTGTGCCACCGCGTCACCAGATTTAGTTTTTCATTTGGTAATTTTTGTAATCATTGTTATTTGATTGATTGATTTCATTTATTGATTCATTCATTGGTTGGTTCATTCATTCATTCATTTATTCATTGAGTGATTGATTTATTCATTCGTTCATTCATTTGCTTATTTATAAGTTCATTTATTCATTTGTTCGTTCATTGATTGATTGATTGATTGATTCATTCATTCATTTATTCATTCATTGAGTGATTGATTGATTCATTGATTCATTCATTGAGTAATTGATTGATTGATTAATTCGTTCATTCATTGAGTGATTGATTGATTAATTGATTCATTCATTCATTCATTGAGTGATTGATTTATTCGTCCATTCATTCATTCATTCATTCATTGATTTATTCATTCATTCATTCATTCATTCATTCATTCATTGTTTGTTTGATTCATTGTTTGTTTGTATTTTGGAATTTCTTTAAAAAAAAAAAAGAAATGAGTTTTTGAAAGTTCTTTTCATTTTTTTTCCAGGCAGGTTATTTTAAAAACCCCTGAAAAGAATTTATAAAACATAAAATAACGCTCCCTGAACACTGCACTGCTTATACACTGTATAAGCTAAAGTCAACAAGTTTCAAAACTGTACTTATGTAGTAACATATATGTATGTTAACACCTCTAGGTTTACAATTGCCTTATTTTCATCCTGTTTTATTTTATTATTATTATTAATGAAAGTGTTGTTAGCAGCTCCCTGAACCTCAAATTATTTTGAACCCTTTAGTATCAAGTTCGAGAAGGGTCTGGCTGCAGAGTTGCACTTGCATCATCAGGCTTGAACTCTCGGGCTTTCAAGCGGCCACAGGTGTTGATTGTAAACGACGTCACTTGCAAAGGAAGCACGGTTGCCAGAGCGTGCAAATCTGCAGCCAGACTCTATTGTCAAGTTCAGACCAGACTGGTTTCTTTCAATTCAGTTCTCAAGAGCTGACACAAGCACTTACAGCTTCATCAAAGCCCATGTACATGAACTGCTGGATCCACTGCTGGACGTCCGGCCGGCTGCGGTCCCACAGGTTTCTTTTAGGCCTTTTCAGGGAGGTCAGGAACTCTTTGGCTTTGGAGGGAGAAACGGCCACCGCTGCAGCCGGCTTTACATCCCTGTCCACTAGTGGGAGACAGAGTGAATGTACAGGAATACACAAACACAGCACGTCTATTAACATCAGAAGCACAGTAAGTCATTTTCAAACATAAAGCTTTTTTTCTGTTGAAATGAGATTGTCAGATGATTTGTTGCAAATGTAAGTCTATTTTAACTGTGATTTTTTGTGACAAATTCAGACATGCACGTCAATGGTAAATGGAAAAAGAAGGTTACCTCGTTTCATCAAAAGTTTTTCCAGCTTGCTCTCACTTGCGACATCTACAAAATGTTTGAAAAATAATAATTAGACTCACTCACTGGACACGTTTCTGTTCAGCGTTTTATAAACGCAAATATCTTTGCGACTAATCAATCACTTGAATATATGGAAAAGAATTAGGGCCAAGTGATAATTAAAGAAACTCTATACAC